GGCAAGGCCCAGAGGGCGAATCCTCCCAGGACTTTCTAGAGCTTCCTGACTTTCCTGCTGCTGGTTGCAGGTGTGTGACCCCAGACGGGCCTGGCGGCTTGGTGAGACCATCAAAGACTATAAACTCCAAGAGCCTGGATGACTGTCACCCCAGTGCCTAACTGGAGGGCAGCAGCAGAGGCAACCTGTGGTTGGGGTTCTGCCAGCCCTTTTCCCTACGGTCCCCGGGAGGCCAGAGCCTGCTCAAGGCCAGAGCAGGAGAGCAACGGAGATCCTGCCCAGGTGGGGCATGGCTTGTGAGAGGTTGGGGTAGAAACACTAGAGCTGGGGAGACTGGGGGTTGGCCCTGTCTTACGTGGTGCGTCCAGATGGTGTGGGATGGCAGCCGCAGGGTCTGTGCTGAGGGGGGAGGGCGGTGAATTTACCCCAATAAACCTCTTGGAATAGAAGTTTCCCTTCTGAGGCTCAGGATGCTCCCAAATGTGTGACATCTCCACTTGTCACCGGGAGCCTAGATGCCGATGGTACACTCCCGCTGCTATGGGGACAAGCACAGGAGCCACCAGTTAACTCTCACAACCCATCTCCCACCCCTTCCGTGCCAGTAGGTCATGGCTCAGAATACCACCTCCTCCAGAGGCCACTCTAGCTCCTCTCCAGTTCCTGGAGCCGGGGGCCCCTTTTCTGTGGCCACTCGGGAAAGGCAAGTGTCCTGAGCATCACCAGCTGGACTACTGGGTTTCTGAATACCAGTGGCGACATGGAGATTGCACCACGACGCGTCTTTTTTTTCTGGCAGGCATGTCCTCTTTGCTTGTTTTTGCAAATTCGGTAAAACAGCATTTAAGCCTTACACCCTTCATCAAGTCACACAGGTAGGAGTAATGCCGCAAGAATTTTAACCCAGGCTCTGTGATTCCAGGGCTCGTGCATATAACCACCAGACTGTGGTAGCTTCTCATCAGGTATGCGCCCTGTTTCACCATTTTTTGATACTTAGTATAGTCGCATACGCTTAATGAGCTCGGTCACTGCCCGTGAGGAGATCTTCTTCGGCTTAACTCATAAATCAACCACTGGCCACACCAGGCTCCAGGCTCAGAAGATGTAGGACAGGGACTGTGAGTTGCTAACATCCCTAGCAGACATTTCTCAATATGAGCCTTGCAGCAAATCGTGCAGCTATGACAGATCTCCCAGGTGCATGGAATCAGCTGTGTGCTGGATCTACCCTGGCCTACGAGCCTTTTGCCCCAAGGGCACCAATATCTGTTGTAATAGTTCCATACACCAGCTTTCAAGGTCATGGCCAAGATGAACAACTTACCAATATTAACTTTTCCAGTTCACCAGTTGGTACAGCTTTTGTTTAAAAATTTTTAAAATTTAAAAAATTTAAAAAAAAATTTTTTTTCTCTCAGTATTTTGTAGCAGTGTTCCAGAAATTATAGATCATAGATCATGGGTCAGATCTGGCCCCCAGCCTGTTTTTGTAATGCCAATTAGCTTGAAATGATGTTAACATTTTAAAAATGTCGTAAAATCAAAACAAAACCAGAACATGTGACAGAGACCATACATGCAAAGCCTACAACTATTTCCTATGCGATGCTTTATAGTGAAACTTTGCCAACCCCTGATGTGTACTTTTTTGGTGCATAGGTCTTATACAGTATCTGCTAATTTACTCCTCACTACTTTGTGAGATTTTAAAAATGCTATTGTAAATGGTATCTTTTAAACTTTAGTTTTCATTTACTGGTAGCATATCGAATATACAGTTGGTTTTTATATATTGATCTTGTATGCTGGAAGTGTGCTAAATTTCCATGCTCCTGGTATTTCTTTGTAGAATTCTTATGACTTTTTAAACACACATTCATGGTTTCTGTAAATAGAGTTTTACATAATCCTTTTTAATCTGTATGCCTTTTACTCCTTTTTACCTTTACGTTTGCTCTGACATCCTGTAAAATATTGAATACCAGTGAAGATAATAAACATGTGTTCCAGGTTCCAGTTCTTAGAAGTGTTCAGTATGCTGTTAGCTGAAGGTTTTTTGTATATGTGCTTCATCATATCAAGGAAATCCCCTCCAATTTCTATTTTGCTGGAGATTACTTTGAAAGAAGTGTTGAATTTTGTCAATTACTTCACATACAGATTTTTAATATGGCTTCTCTCCTTTATTCTGTAAATATGAATTACATTGATTGTTGGGTTTTGTTTTGTTTTGTTTTAAGATTTTATTTATTTATATGACAGAAAGAGACAGCGAGAACAGGAACACAAGCAGGGGGAGTGGGAGAGGGAGAAGCCCGCTTCCCGCTGAGCAGGGAGCCCGATGTGGGACTCGATCCCAGGACCCTGGGATCATGACCTGAGCCAAAGGCAGACGCTTAATGACTGAGCCACCCAGGCGCCCTGATTGTTTTTTTTAAATGTTAAACCAACCCTGATTCCTGGGACAAACCCCACCCAAGAGGTGGTCCTGCTAGATTATCCTCTTATATCTGGTGATTTCCTGAAATGGTCATTAAAGACTTTTATGTCTATGTTCCTGAGGGATATTAATCTTTAAATTTTTTTTACGTTTTTGTACTAGAGTAATGCTGGCTTCTTCGTAGAATGAGTTAGGAAAAGTTTCCTTCTTTGTTTTCAGAGTTTGTGTAACCTTGGTAAAATATCTTATATTTTTGATACAATTTACAGGAAAACCACATGGATGTGCAATTTTCCTCATAAAATGGTGTTTAAAGTCACTTGTTATCCCTTTAATACCTACCAAATCTGCAGTGATGCCCCCCCTTCATTCCTGATATTGGAAATTTCATTTTTCTTTTTTTATTTCCTGGTCAGTTTTTCTAGGGATTTGTCAATCTCATTAACCTTTTAAAAATCCGTTTTTAGTGTGTTAATTTTTCTTTATATTTTCTATTTCTGCTATTAGCTTTATCATTTATGTCTACTTATTTTGGATTTAATTTCTTTTTTTTTAAAGATTGACTTATTTGAGAGAGGGACAGAGAGAGTGCAGGGGGTGAGGAGAGGGAGAGAATCTTAAGCAGACCCCAATGAGCATGGAGCCCAACACAGGGCTCAATCCCATGACCCTGAGATCATGACCTGAGCCAAAATCAAGTCGGGCACTTAACCAACTGTGCCACCCAGGCATCCAGTGCTGTCCAGTGTTTGTAAGTGCAAGAAGGCTGTGATGGACCCTAAAGAATATACATGTGTTAGATGGGCTACCTTCGGTCAGGAGTTGTACTGCTGTTGACTCGGAGTTCGATGTGAATGAATCAACAATATGGCACATGCTCAAGTAGGAAGAAGAAATGCACTGATCTGTACATGAAGCCACTCCAGAAAGTGTTAAAAGTATCTTTTAGAGTGTGTGGTGAAGCTATGAAAAAGATGGAAAAGCAGCTCAAGTTGTGGATTCGTGAGATGAAGATCAATAAAAAACTATACGAAGGCATTGTTCTGAGGCTGAAAGCCAAAATTTAAGAGTCCTGTTACCCAGATAGGGAAAATGTTAAACCCTGATCAGCTAGTTAGCTGGCTTGCACATTTCAAGAGACAATACAGTATGAGCAGTGTGCAGATAAGGCCGTTCCTGCAGATCAGGAGGCTATGGAATAATTTTTTAAATACCTGCTAAATATTAATACAGGGAAAGTGTTAGGTGTAAGAGCAGGTTTCAGTGCCAACGAGACTGGCTTGTTTTCCTAGGCTATTGACAAATGAACACATATAATGCAAATGGCCTCCAAATCCCCTCTTCAAATTATTCAAATATCATGCAGTCTTGCTATTGTGTGTCAATACTAACAGCGACTGACTTTAAGTCCAAACCCCTAAAGATGTACGGAACCCCAAATCCACAAGAACTTAAAAGGAAACTCCGGTTCAGGAGTTTGACATCTGACATATGAGATGTCAGAAACATTCTGGGATTAAGCTTCTACCACTGCCCATCCAAGAAGCTGACTGCTATCTCCGGGCCAAAAACCTTGCCTCCAAGGTTGTATTGATTTTGAGTATTGCCCCAGTCCATTGCCATGAAGAACTTGCAAATGCCCACCCCAACCTAGGTGTTCTTTTCATGCCCCTGAACGCTAGGTCTGTCACCTAACCTGGCCATCAGGACATAATAAAGCTTTCATGGTGAACACCACGAGGGAACTTTACAGTAAAGCAATACAACACCAACAAGGAAACCGGCACGACGGACGACTGGCAGTCGGTCACTATGGCCACGGTCAGGGACTTTGGTGCACAGCCTGGGGAGGTATCAAGGAGACTACTATCAGTAACATCTGCAAAAATGGCCAGACCGCCCGAAAAAGTTCAAAGGCTTTGAAGGTGTCACAGAAAATATAAAGGCCAATGGCAAACACATAATGCATATCACATGGCAAGTAAGTGGAAAAAGCCTCAGTGACATGCGGGAAGATGTGGAAGAAATTTGGGCAGAAAAGGTGGTAGAATCCACAAAGACCCAGAAGAGAGAGCAAAACAAGGCACTGAAGTCAGTGGAGATGAGGATGGTGATGAAAACCCGGCCACCACTGAAATGTCCCTCTCACAGCAGCCATATCAGAATGGAATTCTGCCTCGGAAGAATTTGCAATGACATGGAAGAATGTGACCCTATTGTTGAATGCAGCCTCCTGCTATTTTTCAAGCAGCTTGAAATAAGTACCATCAACTACTTTGGTTTTCTTGGGGTAAGCCAAGGTCAAGAGGTTTATTTAGCCAGAGTGCACTGCCCCACCACACATCCCACAGCTCTCTCAAAACTAGTTGTACTTAATGTTAATCTTTGATTAATTTTAACTTTTTCTGCACTTTCTTTGCATGACTGTACAATATAGCAGTGTAGGTGTTCACATTACTGTGCTGTTTACTGTTTATTTAATGTGAGTACTAAACTGTGTATTGTTTGTATGACTGACTTAAAGTAGTACAGTAAAAATAGAATACACTATACAAAATGATGTAACAGAAATAGTTTTATTATAATACTGCATATAATTTATTTCTAAGAAACATATATTAAATTCAGATGCCTTTAAACAGAACAAAAATCCATAATAGGTCATGCATTGATTGGTAGATGAAAATGTGAACAGAGGCTCAGACGAACATAAGTTTGCATTTCCCTTAGAAGCAATGGTTCAGTAGTCATTAATTCAATGTTTGTGATGGATTTACAGAATACAACTACGATGAATAACAAGAATTGACTAAATATATGAGTGTGTATGTGTATGTGTGTTAAGTATTTTATGACTTGGGCCTCTGAATCTCTCAAACATTTATGCTCCCCAAGGGTAAAAATGACAATGTTTTAGAATAAGGAGTATTTTCAAAAAATGTTGGCAGCATGGCTGCCTTCAATGGTCCAACTCTCCTGACAACAGATATATAAAAGACACATGGGGCGCCTGGGTGGCTCAGCCAGTTAAGTGTCTGACTTCGGCTCAGGTCATGATCCCAGGGTCCTAGGATTCAGCCACACACGGGGCTGCCTGCTAAGCGGGGAGCCTGCTTCTCCCTCTCCCCCACTCGTGTTCCCTCTCGTGCTCTCTCAAATAAATCTTAAACACACACACATAAAGGGAATGAGGTCTTTTTATCTCTCATACCCCCACCATCCCCTGCCCCAACCGTAATGACAAATTATCACAAGCTTGGCAGGGAAATTGGAAAGAAGCCATACACTCACATTTCCTTTCCCTTTCTCTTCTACATCTCCTCCTCCACCTCTCATTGTACTTCTAAAATGCTCTTGAGATGGTTTCATAGTATAAATATAAGAAGAATTCTTGCTGACATATTTTCTAAATGCATAACCACTGGGCCTCACTTGTGGATGATTCCCAGGGGTAGTGTAAGGGTCTAGGCTGGGTCAATTTCTAATATGACCCTTGAGATGACCTGCCACAAAAAGCTTACACACAGATGGTAATTATGTTTCTCTTCAGTACGAATTATCAGATAATGAGCAAGATATTTCTCTGGCCAAAAGGTTTTCCTGAAAAGTTACATTCAAAAGAAAAGGTATTTCATCAGTATGAGTTCACTAAAACTGACCGATGTAAACAACCCGCAGAGGCCTTTAAACTCTGGTATGAATTTTTCGATGGTGAGTGAAGGATGAACTGTGGCTGAAGGTTTTTCCACATTCACTACATTCAAAGGGTTTCTCTCCAGTGTGAGTTCTCATGTGTTGAGTTAAGGCAAAGTTGTCACAGAAAGCCTTCTTACAGTCTTTGCATTCATACGGTTTTTCTCCAGTGTGGATCCTATTATGACGAACAAAGTTCGCAGGTTGGGTAAAGGCCTTCCCACATTCTCTGCATACATAGGGCTTCTCGCCAGTGTGAATCCTCATGTGTCGAGTAAAGGAAGAGCTGTAGTAAAAGGCTTTCGCACATTCTTTACACTCCAAGGGTTTTTCTCCACTGTGGGTCCTATTATGTCGGATAAAAACAGAGTGGTGTGTAAAGGCTTTTCCACAGTCACTGCACTTATAGGGCCTCTCGCCAGTGTGAATCCTCATGTGTTGAATTAAGGAAGAGCTGTCACAAAAGGCTTTCCCACATTCCTTGCATTCAAAGGGCTTCTCCCCAGTATGAGTCCTCTTGTGCCGGATAAAAGTGGAGCGGTGAGTGAAGGCCTTTCCACATTCGTTGCACTCAAAGGGTTTCTCTCCAGTGTGAATCCTCATGTGTTGAGTAAAGGATGAGCTGAGGCAAAAAGCTTTTCCACATTCTTTGCACAAAAAGGGTTTTTCTCCTGTGTGGGTCATATTATGCTGGATAAAAGTGGAACGGTGAGTGAAGGCCTTTCCACATTCACTGCACTTGTAGAGTTTCTTTCCAGTGTGAATCCTCATGTGTTGAGCAAAGGAAGAGCTGTAGTAAAAAGCTTTGCCGCATTCCTTGCACAAAAAGGGCTTTTCCCTAGCATGGGTCATATTATGTTGGTTAAAAGAAGAGCGGTGGGTGAAAGTTTTACCGCATTCTTTGCACTCATAGGGCTTATCTCCAGTGTGAATGCGCTGGTGCTCTGTGAGGTGAGACCTGCGTTTGAAGGCCTTCCCACACTCAATGCACTTGTACGGTTTTTCCCCAGTATGCAACCTCATATGTCGAATGAAGTCTGCCATATAACGACAGGCTTTCCCACATTCGCTGCATTTATAGGGCTTCACTCCAGCATGAATCTGCTGATGCCGACCAAGGGCCCAATTCTTGCTAAACCTTTTCCCACAGTCTTTGCACTTATACAGGTTATTCCTTGCATCTATCACAGGGTCTTTTCCTGGTCCTTGTCCATGTTCACGGAGATCACCTTGGGTAGTGACTCGCTCCTGCAAAACCGTTAAACACAAACGATCATCTGCCTCCAAATCATCATGTTTATGGGTCAACTTCCTAGGGCATGTCTCCTTGTGGGGGTCTGCTCCTGGCCTCAAGTTCCCTTCCTGCATTTCTGATAGCTTTTCCTGATCCCTTGCTTGCCCCAACCTGGAATCCCTTGGGACTCCCTGGGTCACTTGTTCCTCAAAAGGGGCTTCCTCAGTGAAGGCCAGCTGAGAAGCAGTAAGTTCTGTGGTCTCAGGTTTTGCTTTTTCACCTGAAGGGAATCCAATACAGAAAGGTGTCTATTAGTCATGTCAACACAGAACAAACAAAATTACCATCTGAGTGGTAGAATGAAGATGAAAATAACCCCTCTAATTCCTGTGGCATTTATGTATCTATTCAGCCCAGGTTTACAGTTTCTTTCTTCACTAATCCTTGGACTCTTGACATCTTTAAAAGGCAACCCAGGAAGAAAAGCTGGGGCAGGGTGTAGAGAATCTGGAGCGGAGAAGACTCCTCACCCTCCAGAATGGCGGCGGGTGGGCGAGTAACGACTACACCGTATGTAACAACTGTGCCCCAACATGGTATGGCAGCACAGGGAAGGGACACCGAGCCTGAGCCACATGGGAGACAGAGAGAGGCCAGTGGAGGCTACCTGGAAAAGGTGCTGTGGGAGCTTATTTCTAAAGGAGAGGAGGGATTCTCTGATGGAGGAATGAGGAGAGAAACTACAACATGCGGTGTCTTCAGAGAATTCCGAATGCCAGGCAAAGTGAAGTGGACAAGAGGATGGTGGAGATGAGGATGGAGAGGCAGACAGGGACTGAGGAAAGAAAAAAATGTCAGGATTCTGGGCTGTGGGATAGTGGGGGACGGTGAGAAACTACTGGGCGGGCGTACTGCGTCTACTTCGTCTGAGTAAAGACTAGGTGAACAGACGCCAAACAAATACCACTGAGATGAGGAGAATTATAAATTTACCACATTAATGAAGATCTCTATGAAAAGGGAGGTTAGTAATATAACGTCGCCCTTAAATTCATCTATAAATTCAACACAACCTCAAATAAAATCCCAACAGAGTTTTTCAAGGATATTGACAAACTGATCGTGGAATTTACAAAAAAGAACAAACAGACCAGGCTAGCTCCAAAGAAGAAAAAAGAAGGGAGTCTTGCCCTTTGAGGAATTAGAATTATGATGATTATACACAAGGCAGTACGATGTAGGCATAGATTTAAGATAAACTGTCAAAGGAAAAAACAGAATTAAGAACTCAGAAATGTATGTATGAACTCTGAAATATGACAGAAGCAGCAGAGAGGCCCAGTGGGAAAAGGAGGGACTACTCAATAAATGGATCTAGAGAAACAATTTCCCATATGGGGGAAAATGAAATTGCATTCCTAACCTCATGCCACATAAAAATTAACTCTAGACTGATTAAGATCTAACTGTCAGAGGCTCACCATTAACAACATTTAGTAAATAGTAAAAATGATTATCTTTTAGATCTTGGGAAAGTGAAAGATTTCATAAACAAGATAAAAAAGCATTAACTGTAAATGAAAAGACTAGTCAATTGGACTAAACCAAATATTATTTTTTAAAAGGCAAACGGTGGGGGGCGCCTGGGTGGCTCAGTCGGTTAAGCGTCTGCCTTCAGCTCAGGTCATGATCTCAGGGTCCTGGGATTGAGCCCCGCATCGGGCTCCCTGCTCAGCGGGAGGCCTGCTTCTCCCTCTGCCTGAGGCTCCCCCTGCTTGTGCTCTCTCTCTCTGTCAAATAAATAAATAAAATCTTAAAAAAAAAAAAAAGGCAAACAAAGGTATCTATCTAAATTAATATCAGATACCACAGACTACAGACCAAAGTAAATGAGAAAAAGAGGGACATTATACAATGATAAAAGATCAATCCACCAGGAAGACATAACAATCCTAAATCTGTACGCAACAAATATCAGAGCCCCAAAATAAACCAAAAACTGAGTTCGAAGGAGAAATAGAAAAACCACAATTACAGTCGGTAACTTCAACACTCCATATCCAAAATGAAAACTAAGCATATTTGTATGAGCTGACATTTCACAGAAGATCTACATCAGCCAATCAACATATGAAGAGGTGCTCAACTTTCCTGGATATGAGGGAAGGGCAAAAGACCACAATGTGATACCATATTATATTCACCCGATTGAAAAAACTAAAGAACTTGACAGTACCAAGTGTTGGAAAAGCCACAGATCCATAGAATCGCTAGTGTAATGCAGGTGAAGTGTAAACAGGTAAGATTCCATTTGAGAAAACAGCAGGGCAGCATCTAGTAAAGTTCTCCTTTTGCTCACTTATAATAATCGAAAAATTCTAGCCCTAGGAACACTACTAAGAGAAATTCCTACACATATGCATGAGGACATATGTACGTGAATTTTCACAACAGCACTCTGTGGGTATAAAAAACTGGAAACATGAAAGTGCTCATGAAAATAAATGAATACTTTGTGTTATATTCATGCAAATGACTACAGAAGAAAAAAATGAGTGAACTATACTACAGGCACGGTGAATCTTAATAATATACTGTTGAATAAAAAGTACAAATCATGTAAGACAATATAACCTATGATACTTTTTATAAAGTTCAAATTAAAAAGCACGTATATACATGAGTACGATGAAGTAATTTTTAAGTCTGTTTTGAGAATGTCAGTTAATAATGGCATTATAAAAACACGTACATAGGGCGCCTGGGTGGCTCAGGTGGTTAAGCGACTGCCTTCGGCCTAGGTCATGATCCTGGAGTCCCGGGATCGAGTCCCGATTCGGGCTCCCTGCTCGGCACGGGGTCTGCTTCTCCCTCTGACCCTCCTCCTCCCTCTCATGCTCTGTCTCTCATTCTCTCTCTCAAATAAATAAATAAAATCTTAAAAAAAAAAAAAAAAACCATGTACATAGGATACACGCATCCCTGTTTATTGCAGCATTATTTACAATGACCAAAATATGCCCCAAGCATCCACTGACTGATGCATGGATAAAGAAAAGGAGTTATATATATGCAATGGAATATTATTCAGCCATAAAAAACAATGAAATCTTATCATTTACAACAACATGGACACAGCTAGAGAGTATAATGTGAAGTGATCAGTCAGAGAAAGACAAATACCATATGGCTTCACTTATATGTGGAATTTAAGAAACAAAACAAATGAACAAAGGGAAAAAAGAGACAGACAGAGACAAATCAAGAAACAGATTCTTAACTATAGAGAGCAAACTGATGGTTACTAGAGGGGAGGTGGGTGGGGGGATGGGTTAAATAGGTGATGGGGATTAAGGAGTACACTTGTCATGATGAGCACCAGGTGATTAAGATAAAAACGTAAAAAATATATATGAGTATCTTCATTTATTTTTTTAGTTTTATTTACTGTGGTAAAAAATATATATATATAACATAAAATTTAACATTTTAAGATAAAACAATCTTAAAATGTAATGGATAGAATAATTAGATGAAGTGGAAAAACTCCTTGAAAGATTCAAATTACCAAAACTGACGCAAGATAAACAATATATGAATAGCCCTATATTTACCCCAAAAGCAAACTGTTATGGACTGCATGTTTGTGTTCCCCCAAAATTCATGTGTTGAAGCCCTAACCTCCAATGTGAATTTGGAGATAGGGCCTTTATGGAAGCAAGAAGAGACACCCCCAGCACACACACACCACCTAGGAAAGACTATGGTCTCCCTTTGTCTTCCTCTAAGGACACCAATCCCATCATGGGGACTCCACCCCCATGACCTCATCTAAACCCAATCATCTCCCCAAATCCCGACCTCTAATAGCATCACTATTCTAACCCCCCAGCTGGGTTCTAACCCCCCAGCTCCAAGTATGAATTTGGGGAGGACACATAACAATGTTCACAATAATGTTACATAAGAAAAATTATGTAAATCAACCAATCCAGTACATGGCAAATGTTCAGTAACCTGTACACCCCTCTTATCATTATTATAGGTGTTGCACTTGCCAATCAGAATGTCAACAGTAACCTGAGTAAGAACATTTTCAGTAGTGTGGTGCTGAGAAACAACACTACTGGGTCTCAAAGAATAAAGAGGAAGATACCACCTGCTCCCCAGTAGGTGTTAACAGTTGACGACTCTTATGCATGACTACTGGGAATGTGAAATGGCGCGGTCCCTTTGAAACTGTTTGGTGGTTTCTACTGAAGCTAATCATGTATCTACACCATGATCCAGCCAGGCCACTCATTTACATATTCCCAACAGAAATGTGTGCTTATATCCAACAAAAAATATGATCAAGAATATTCACAGCTGCATTCCTCACAATATTCTGAAAATGGAGGACAAGCCAAGTAACAGGAAAAATGGATATATGTAATCTATTCATTCACTGAGACACTGCACAGTTAAGAAATAACTCTACATTTTACAACCACATGAGGGAACCTCAGAGCCATGATGATTATCAAGACGGACATAACAGTATTATGTACTGTGGGGGTCCATTTATAAGTCTTCAAAACTAATCTACAGTGACTGAGTTGAACACCGGCTACTTTTGTAAAAAGGGTATTAACAAGGAGGGAGCAGAAGAAACCTGGGAGGTGCTGGAAATATTTCTTGACCTGTGTGGTGGATACTTGGGGTTATATATGTAATATTTCATAAAGATGAACCCTTAAGATTTGTATATTCACTATGTGTAAGTTATACCCTCGTACAGTAATTAAAGAAAATAGTAAAATAGTAACGAGGAAGCCTAGAAGTCCTGATCCTGCGTGGCTGTCTCTTCAGAGAATGAGAAAACTCCCAGAAGCTTGGTTGTTCAGGTGAAATAGAGTCGTCAACAATTACATGTGTTGGGAGAGCCAAGAGCATGTTTTGTTTCAAGTTTCCCCCAAGTGTCCAAAACTTCACTGTGTTTCCTATGTTGAGATGAGAGAAGGTGAAGATCTAGAAGAGGCAGGAATTATTTCCTTCACTTCCTTCACTTATGTGAAGACCCAAGGTCCCAGGTGCAGCAGACTCACATATGGCTTCCTGTAATTCCTACCTCATGGTGCTTACACCCTGTTATGATGCCCTCTGGCAGAATGGCTCAGGCCCTTGATTTGCTTCTGATGTGGCCAAGTGGTGGAAATGTAAAAGATGAGGCTGTGTGTTGCATCCCTCTTGCTGGAGTCTCTCCCACCAACACTTGATCTGAAGGAACCTGACATGTTGTGAGGTGTCTCTGACTGGTCTTACCATTCTGTAAGTCAAGAAAGCCAGGGACCAAAGAACGACCCCACACCACCTCCATGTTCTTCACACCCTCTATCCAGCCGTTCCTGAATCTTGATCGTGTTTCATCTTCCGTATCTCCAGAATCCGTCACCTTCCCCAGCTCCGTCGGTTCCGCACGAGCATCCTCGTTCAAGCCATACTCGTCTCTAGCCCGCATGACGCTAGCAGATTTCCAGCTGCTCTCCATGTATCTGCTGCGTGCCTCTGATCCACTCTCTGCCTTCCGTCCGCTTCCCCATCCATCCACGCACCCTACTTTCGTCTGGGAGCGGACCCCACCAAGTTGCGCCTGGACCTCTGACCCACAGATGAGACACAGTAAATAAGTGATATTGTAAGCTCTGTTTGTGGTAATATTGCCACACGGCAAAAGATAACTAATACACCTGAGAAGTTAGGCGAAGGTGAGATCTAGACTCTGCTGGGGGAACTCGCCATGCCGGGTGTGAGAACTCTTCCACCTCTCACCTCTGTGAGAAGTAAGCTGCAGGATGAGTGTGTCAGGGGTAAAGAGCAAGAAGGCCAAGTGTGTAGCCTCTCTTCTCAATGTGAAGTAGGTCACATGCTGAGTTATGAGCAGCGAGGTGGGTGGTGATATCTGGAAGACGGGTGAGTGGATAGGGAAGCGGACGGAAGGCAGAGAGCGGATCAGAGGCACGCAGCAGATACATGGAGAGCAGCTGGAAATCTGCTAGCGTCGTCGGCCGAGACACGAGTGTGGCTTGGACGAGGATGCTCGTGCGGAACCGACGGAGCTGGGGAAGGTGACGGATTCTGGAGATACGGAAGATGAAACACGATCAAGATTCAGGAACAGCTGGATAGAGGGTGTGAAGAAGACGGAGGTAGTGTGGGGTCGTCCTTTTCTTCCTGGCTTTCTTGACTTACAGAATGGTAAGACCAGTAGTTGAAAATGGCGAGGTGGGAGGAGTGGGCCAGATCATGAGGTCCTTTTTAGGATGTCAGTGGAACACTGGAACATTGGGATATTCGAGTGAAGATGTGGAACTGCAGAGCGGGGTGAAGGTGTGAGACAGACCCTAAGGGGTGAGGAGGGGAGGGCCGGACACTTGCTGGCTGAGTAGCCAGAAGGAACACGAGAGGGGAGAGATCACGAATCTGCACTGAATCCTCTCCACCCACTCGATGGCCCCAGCAGCTCTGACAGCCCAGATGTGAGGCTGACAAAGGCAAATGTCTCCTTGAGGTTTTATAAGACAAGAAGGCAAGAAGAGAACAAGGCTAGGGACTGCTTCCGAATATCTGCTTCACAAGTGGAAGGATGGATAGATGCAGAGATATATAGGTGAATGAATGACTGGATGAAGGTGGAAAAGTGTGGGATGCAAAGTATAGTTAGAGGTGTAATCTGCAGAAAAAGAAAGGACTGTCTTTTCTGAATTTGGAAGGAAGTCTGAGATATCATTATTCATTATGACTAATAATGCCTAAATATTACAAACACACAACTTTTGTTACTTTGTCACTCACTCTGAGTCAGGCACTGTGCGATAAGCAGTTTCTTGTTATCTAATTATATTCCCAAATAATCTGATGATGCAGAAACCATCTTTTTCTAATGTAGGCTAGTTTAGCAGACTAGGATACGTTCATCATATCCCTGGCCTCTTCTCCTTGGGCACAAAGCTAAACCACATTTCCCAGTTTGATGTGACATGTAGCCTAATGACCAGTTCTTGTCAATGAAATCTGAACGAAATGATGTATGTGTGCAAGGGGATAGGACTACAGATCTTCCACAACTTATGATGGGGTTACATCTCAATGAACCCATCAAAATGCGTTTTTTAAAATAAAGATTTTATTATTTATTTGAGTCAGAACGAAAAAGAGAGATCACAGAGACAGAGGAAGAAGCAGGCTCACCGCTATGCAGGGAGCCCAACGCAGGGCTCGATCCCAGGACCCTGGAATCATGACCTGAGCCGAAGGCAGCCGCTTAACCGACTGAGCCACCCAGGTGCCCCCAAAATGCGTTTAACACACGTAACCCACCACACATCATAGCTTAGCCTGGATTACCTTAAACGTGCTTAGTACACTTACATTAGCCTACAGTTGGGCAAAATCATCAAATACAAAGACTATTTCATAAAAAAGTGTTGAATCTCTCATGCATTTATTGAATATTGTACTGAAAGTGAAAAACACAATGGTTCTAAGTGTACTGGTGGTTACCCGCGCGATTGCACGGCTGACTGGGAGCTCGACTCGCTACTGCTGCCCAGCATCAGGAGAGAGCATCATACTGCAATATCACTAGCCCAGGAAAAGATCCAAACTCAAAATTCAGAGGCCACCTTCCCCCGAATGCATACTGCTTTCACACCAGTATAAAGTGGAAGAATCCAAAGTTGAACCACTGTAAGCTGGGGGCCATCTCTACTCCCCTTCTCTCCTATTCCTCTTGGCCACTTGGATGATGCCAGGGCACACTTAAAGCAACATACTGGCAACAGAACGCACCCGGATCCCTGAATAAATAGGTGGTACAGAGTACCCCTGCTGACCCACATTAACCATGTCATAAATGAGAAAAAAACTCTTATTCATTTGCTAACTGACCTAGAATTGGGAGTTTATCTTTTACAGCAAGATAGCATTAACTTAGCCTAACTTGTGTATCAGAGGAATAGCAAGATCATGCAACTTCCTCAGTCATGAGGCTAGTGAGTGGCCAAGCATTGAGAGCTTGTCTCTTACTCAGTATACCACCTCCCAATCCTAATAAAGATGAAGAGTGCGATGGGGTGGAAAGACAAGGGAAACAACTGGGAGTGCTCCATGACCAACCAAGACTCCAGGAAGGCCACAAAAGAAGCTGCCCATGGAATTTCAGACAGGTGATCCCCTGGCAGTCTGTGAGTTGCCATGAAACCCATTGCCAGGACACCCACCTGCCAGACTCTCAGCCACCTACCTGTGTAGGTGCTTTTGGAGAGGCCTCTCTTCACTGTCCATAGTTCCTGCCCATGTTCCACTAGGAAGGTCAGCTCTGGTTTGGGAACAGGATACCCTGTGCATGAAGAAAGAAATGGGGCATGGGTATGTAGGTAAGGACAAAAGGAAAAGTCTCAAGTATACAGGAGTATACACCTTTCACATGCCACCATGAAACTCCAGAAAGGAAACTCCCTCCAGAAGGTGTTCCCTAATGAAGCCAGTAGGATTCCACCTCCCCGTGGATCAGAACTACCTGGAGATGTCTGTTAAACCAAATGTGAGTTAAACCAAATCTCTGGGCATAAGGACAGAACACGGGGAGTCTGTAAAGCTCCCCAGGTGATTCTGGTGCCCAAGGATGGCTAAAAAACACTGGACTGAATCAACTGTTGAATGGCATCTACCGATAGTTGTCCGAGGTGGGCCTTGACCTAAAGCTGCTACCCATTCTGAAGAAAAAGCCTTTAATCCAAGTTGGGAAGACAGAGCTGAAGGTGGGGACCTGCTGCCCTACTTGCCGCTGTAGCATCCCATGGTGACTTTGAGGATACTGGCCTGATGGCCTGGACCAAGGACAGAAAGTGAACAGACACGCCTGGGTTGGCACCTACCAGGCCAGGAGCCAGCATCACCTCAGGGCTTCTCATCAGGCGAAGTCATTACATTTTTCAGGGGTGAAATCAGTATGAGGAGGTTTTCTGGTACATGCACCCAAGCATGTTTTGCCAAATGTGAAGGCTTAAAGACAGGAGGACTCTGGAGAGAATCCAGTGACTAAGGCACCACGACCCACAGAAACTCCTAGAAAATCCTATACTGCAGGCCAGAATGCATCCAGTTGTCCTGCAGCAAATGTTCACTGATGTTTGCTAGATGCCTGGAACTGAGCCCCATGATGGGACAGTGTCAAAGTTAAATCAGACCTTCCATCTCTATCATGGAACTGAGCTCCCTGTCCCCACAGGGACTTGGCTCCTGTTGGTCCCTCCACCTGGAATACTATTCCCCACGCATCTCCTTTCAACAACTAATCACAATGGTCACAAGTTAACACCATTTACTGCATTGATGACTGACCTCCCGGGAGAGACAATGTTGACACAAGGCTGGGAGAGCCCTGTCATGGTGACCATTTGGACATCTGGGAAAAGGGAGACCTCAGGCCTCCATTCAGTTCATATACAGACCAATTTCTGGGTAAATTGGCCATTTAAATTTCGGTGGGAGAATAGTTGGGACTGACTGATTTAGTACATATAATAAGTACATGTGTCATACTTGCTATGTTCCTAGTTCTATTCTAAGCACTTCACCGCTATTAGGTCACATGGACTAAGTGAAAGGTTACTATAAAAATACAATAAAGTCAAAATAACTGTATTCAGTCCCAGGAAGCTCATGCTGCGTCCTCAAGGCTATGTGTCCTACAGTTATTCTTTCTGAAGGGGAAATTAGCTAAGAGACATAGGAGAGCTAAAGATGCAGCACCAAGCCCAGACTCTTCCAGCAACAATCAGAAGGTAGGAAAGAGGAAGGAAAAAGGAAGAACTTTCTTAGATCCCCATCAATGCCACTGATGATGTGTCTGTGCACCCTCTAAAATGATCTCCCTTAGCAGCAGAGAAGCAAGGCATAGGCCTTAGGAAATAAGGGAAAACTGCAGACACCAGGAGCCAAAGAAGCCATTTAGCCGAGATTGTGCTTAGAAATATACCAGTAGCATGATGTCACATATCTTCCTGTCTGTCTGATTCACCCACTTCTTGGAGAACTCACAGGTCCTGCTTACTGGGCTACGAGGACATTTGACCCAACCAAACTGAACCAGTCACCTTACCTATTACGGAGATCTGGAATAAGGACTTCAGACTGAGGACAGCTTTTGCTGGACACTTGGGTAAGAATGTTGGGAATTATGTTTCTTATACAACAATCCCTATTGCACACATAGGGACGCCAATAAGAGGTTAGAACAGAATAGGCTGAGGACGTGGGGAGACAGGAAGGTGGGTCCCAGAGGCCTTCTCAATCAGCCATGCTTAGAGAGAAAGGATGGAATGAAAGCCTGTGGGTACCACTCTGGAGAACAATGAATCCTTACCCAGTGAAACCAGGAGCCCACAAGTCTCCAGCATCACCTCCCGGTATAAGGTCCTCTGGGCTAGGTCCAGGTGTCTCCACTCCTCCCCAGTGAAGGTCACAGCCACATCTTTAAATGTTATCAATGCCTGGAATATCAAACAGAAGTGATGGGTGGCTGTATATCTATTAGATGAGATGACAGCCTGTTGCTTGGTCACCGGCAGAAGTCCAGGAAGACCCGAGGCCTGAACCCCTGAGTATCTCCTGAGAACCTAGCTCTGTGCTGGGCTCAGGAGGGAGGCAGATGGTGCCTCTGACAGAGTAAAGAACGTGGGAAAGAAAAGCCTCCTGTGTAGGAAGCCATTGGAGAAAGACACAAAACAATGATAATCTTATGTAGGCAGTGAGGAGCAGATATTAAGCCCATAAGGTAAGTGCCATCACCTCCATTTCACAAGCAGCAAACGGAGGCTCAAAGCCAAGTGGAACAGAGTTGTGTGTCTAATGGGAAGGGGCAAGATTTGAACCCAGGTCCCTCAGGTCCAGCCATGGTCGGGGGTTTAGAGTTAATCTAAGTGTGACATACATAGTCCTAGAGAGAAAAATCTTTCGTTCATCAATCCCTTATTGGGCACTGGTGCTAGGCTTGGAGATAGAGCAGAGAACAGGAGCTCACACTCTGGAGCTGGGGAAAGGTCTGGACAAGAAATTAAAGAAATGACCAAGATCAAGTCATGGGGCCCTAAGGGCTCCGAAAACAACAAAAGAGAATGAACTGATTGCAAACATTAGGGGACTTTAGCTGGAGCAACCAGGGGAGGCCTCTCTCAGGGGGCACTGGATTGGGGCTGGCGTGAAGTTAGGGAGCAGGCCAGGTGAGGAAAGATTAATAACTAACGTAAGTCCCGAAGGTGGTCAGAGCTAGGATGAGAGTAAACAGGGTGACATGCTACAGAGTAACTTAAGGCCTGTTGTGTGTTTACAACTCAGGAGAGACAGCATTCCTGTACACCATCATTAATGAATATTGTAATGGAGTCACCCTTCAAGCACAGGTTTCCCCCACTATCTGAAAGCACAGTGTTCCTATGAAAACTTTCCTAAGCCAAAATGCAGTAAAATGAAAAGTATCCCCCAACTTTCTGAAAGTTCCCCTTACTGCCAGCTTTGCTTTTAGGAAAAACTTACATTAGCACCTGTTTTCACCAACCGAAAGAAATCCCAAAAGGATTTTTGTTTTTACCTTACTAATGTAGTCTCTCCTAAAAGCCAGTGGCAAAATCCAAACCTTTGGAAAGTGGCAGAACCTGAATAAGAAAATGTGTTAAAGAGGAAAACGGATCACTGTTGCAAGTTGCAAACCAACTCCACTTGTAAATACACAGATGGCATCTGCAAAGTTCAATCCAGTGACTGGATTGTCTTCCCCACCTGTCCAGGAGCCTTTTTTTTTTTTTTTTTAAGATTTTATTTATTTATTTGAGACAGAGAGAATGAGAGACAGAGAGCATGAGAGGGAGGAGGGTCAGAGGGAGAAGCAGACTCCCCGCCGAGCAGGGAGCCCGATGCGGGACTCGATCCCGGGACTCCAGGATCATGACCTGAGCCGAAGGCAGTCGCTTAACCGACTGAGCCACCCAGGCGCCCCTGTCCAGGAGCCTTCTATACCTACCAGAGAAGAAGCAATTCACAAAACGCAGCTCCCATCCCCTCTCCCAGCTTCCAGCTGGGTAGAGGCCTAAGGCAGGGAGGCCCGAAGGCCAGGCTCTCCCTGGTGTGAGCCTAAGAGCAGTGCAGGACCAGGTTAGTCCCTCTCAAATCACATCCAGACTGATGCTCTCTGGGTCGTGCTGAGCAATAAGGCCACTTCACACACATGCCCTCTCTGGTTCCCTCAAGTGAGAGACAATAATCGTTAATACACACACACGGTTATTCCAATTTTAGACCCGAGGGAATGGAGGCCAAGGGCAGTGAAAAGGCAAGCTGAGGTCAGGGGCAGAAATGGGGGCCTCCCCTTATAACCCCTGGCCTGGATTCAGAACCCTGGGTTAGAAGTGATTAGATCTACCCCCACCCCCACCCCCCGCCGTATTCCTCCAGGAACTCCAGATCCAAGAGCATGAAGAAGGAATGGCGAAGAGTCCCAGGATCTGTATCACTGCGGGCGGAACCGTGAGGACCGCGACCCCAGCGCGCGTGAGCCTGCGCGACCCTCCACTCACCAGCGCCGGCGCCGCCATGAGGCCCACGGGCCGAGCGAGACCGCGAGAAGCGGCGACTAAAGCCCGGCTAGCGAGCTCAGCCGACCCCTCACCCCAGCCCAGGGCCGGGTGACCAGGGACCTCGGTCTCCGCTGTGTAAACGCGCAACAAGGTCCAGGGGGCCCCGTGCGGGTGCCTCGGGAACGAAGGGCTAGTGCCGCGGCGCCGGAGAGGCTAGGGGGGCAAACCCCGTTACAGGTGGTTTCGGGCTCATGCAAAACCGTGGAGGTAGGTCCTATCCTCCTCACCGTCCTTCGCTCAGCCTGGAAGACCCTTCTGGGAAGCGGCCTCCTCCCGCCGCTCCAACCAGAAGCGCCGCTCAACACAGACACCGTACACCCAAACGACGTCCTAAGCGGAGACGCCAGAAGTCCCGCCCACGGTGCGGCAGAAACGCCCCTCTCCGCTCTCTGTCATTGGCTGAGCGCCCGCCTTCGCCATCAGAGGCACTGCCTTCTGGGTAATGTAGTTTCTGACTGCATCTAGGCGGCGCGCGCTCTGTTCTCTGAGAAACCTGGGTTAAAGTTCCAGAGACAGGCGTGTGGCTTTTAAGAGGTGGAAGGAGAAGCACACAGATTTCAGTGGCCCTTCAGGCAAGGTCTCACCTCAAATAGGTGACGCCTACCGTGACCTTCCTCCCTGTGTACCGCAGTGGGATCACTCACTTCTTTCTGAGCCGGTATTTACAACGAAATATGAAGATAGTTGTTGAGTGTAGGGATTTTAAAAGTTCCTCTAATCGGCAGTTTCCAACCTGCAGACCACTACAGCATTCCCTTGGGAATTTGTTACAAATACAGGCCCCACTTCACTCCTACTGAATCAGGAACTCTGGGCTCGGGCCCCACACCTATGCTTAAAAAAGCCCTCCAGAGATGATGGACTCTGAAAACAAACTGAGGGTTCTAGAGGGGAGGGGGGTGGGAGGATGGGTTAGCCTGATGATGGGTATTAAAGAGGGCATGTTCTGCATGGAGCACTGGGTGTTATGCACAAACAATGAATCATGGAACACTTCATCTAAAACTAATGATGTAATGTATGGGGATTAACATAAGAATAAAAAAAATAATTGTTACACCTCGAAATGCATGAAGAAAGTAAGGAGAAAAAAAAAAAAAAAAAAAGCCCTCCAGAGGAATTTAATGCTCCAAGCAGCTGAGAACCAGCCTCTTTAAATTCCAATGAATAGATGAGCTAAAACCACCTCTTTTGTGGGAGATAACTAAAAAGAGCTCAGTAGCAGACCTGGCACATAATGGTAAGTACATAAGGGCTAGCGCTGTCATTATTATTATTTTATATTAGTATCGTTGGTAATGTCATCACAAGGATCTGGCATACACTCTGGTGAGACAGGAAGTCTGATGCTTCTTGGCAGAGGCATTGGCGATATTTGTCAAAATATATAATACTTTGACTCAACAAGGAGCCTCCTGAAGAGTATTTAAAATGTTTACATAACAATATACTTGAATCAGGCAGAAGCATTATTCAAGACTGCTTTTGACTTCCTTTATGACAGGGACTCTTCTATGATATGAGCGCTGAAACTAAGGCGAGTGGGAAGAAGGATTGGTGCGGTATAGAAATGTTTTTAGAGAAATGAAAAGGCAAAAAAGTCAGACAAAAATTATGATGTATTTCCACAAAGTTACATCAAGCGAGCCTGCCTCTCCGGCCTCCCCTTCCACCTCTGCCAACCCTGGGCCAGCAAGACCTTCCCCCCGCATCCCCCCTCCTCTCCTCATCCCATTCAATATGAGGACAATGAGGATGAAGACCTTTATGATGATCCAATTCCACTTAGTGAATAGTAAATAATCATCATGCTTTATAGTTAATAAACGTATCTGTTGTGTATGTATGTGAAAATCTAGTAACTGCATTGTGAGAACCGTATGAAACCTTTTCAAGTCCTCATCATCTAAGTACTCCTTGTGTAGAACTTTAGGATCACCCGAGAATTTTTTAAAAATGCAAGTTCTCTGGCCCACCTGATGAGGGAACACAGAAGGCTAGCTGAAGACGAAGCACAAGCCAACACCCTGCAGAAGCCTCCCTTATCAGTTTGACCAGACTGTCCTGGTTTTAGCACTGAAAGTCCCATGTACTGGAAACACCCGTCCCGGGACAAAAATCCCAGTGTTCAGTGATAGGTACAGAAGTTTGCAGCAAACCCATACATGAGCCAAAAACATATGGGCTGAAAGCAAAACTGTTTTTAATGCCAGGATGCTGGGTATGGCATAGATTATTGGCCATGTGTAGTTGCTGTAGCTGGCCCAGCTCACACCTGAGTGATTTTATGATGAGGCATCATGTATAAATGACACCTTACTTACCCCGATGCCATCTAATGTATATAGTGATTCAGTGAAGCCACAGAAAGTGAATCCACACTGATCCACACTGATCCCACCCCATATCAGACATTCTTCTGTCTCAGTTCTTTCCTCTTCTTGCATGTCTGTCCCTGTATTTGTTTCCTATCACTGCTCTAAAAAAAATATTACTACAAATTCATTGGTTGAAAACCACACACACACACACACACACACACGATTTATCATCTTGAAGTCTCTGAGCCCTTGAACTTCAGATCAGAAGTTCAAGGGCTTTGCTGGGTGTTCTGAATAAAAATCCACAGGGACAAACTCAAGGTACTGGCCAGGGCTACAGTATTCAACTGGGGCCCTGGGCCTTCTTCCACAATCACTATGTTTTTGTTTTTGTTTTCAGAATTCATTTCCTGCTCACAGTTTCCATGTGTCTTCCTCCACTTTTAAGCCAGCAGCAGTGGATTGAGTGTTTATCTCAGGCTTCAATCTCTCTTCCTTCCTTTTTAACAAGCAGCCAAGGAAACTAATCTGCATTTAAGGGCTCCTGAGATTAGGCTAGATCCAGCCAGATAACCCAGGATCATCTCATTTGAAGATCAACTGATTAGTAACTTTGCTTACATTTACAAAGTCTCACTTGCCACATATTCAGGATATTCATCGCAGTCACACCCAGGGGCAAAACGTAATGGGTTCCAAAATTCAGTCTACCATGTTCCCTTTTACCTGTAAATTCATTTATATCTAAATATCTATGTCTATGTATAGGTTCTGGAGCAGATTTATATTTTCTTAATAGTAAGCCTGGAATTCTTTTATATGTGAATTTAATAGTTTATCCACACAACTCAGCTAATGAGTATCCTCATGTTACTCTTACAGGCTCTAGATGTTAAAAGCACAGCTGGACTCAAATTATGGTTTGTCTCAGTTCCGCACAATGTCCTTAGTCATAATAGTTTGCTTCTGAATAATTGTGATTTTCCCTGATTTTTGAAACCAAATGAACCATTTTGGGGAAGTTTTCATTTTACTTACTTGTATGGATTTTTCCCTCTACTTCACCTGATAGTCACCTGGAGACTCACATGCTGGGTCTGTGAGGAATGACTACTGACGTGCGTTTACATCTCACTCCTGTCCCTGACGACAGAGATCTCATTTGGAACAGAGCAGCCTTAATTTTTTAAGTGTCACATTTACATAATTCTTATTATTTCTTGTTTCTGATGCCATAAATCAGGTATTTTCTTAGCTGCGTTTTAATTCACACATTTGTGAATGAAAAAGGTTTCCATATGGTGGTTGCACTTGTGTAAGAACACACTTCTATTTGAGATTTGTCCCAATTTGTCTCTTAGAGAAACTCTCAGTATGTGCATTTGTCTGCTAGGGTTGCCATAACAAAGTACCACAGTTTGGGCGGCTCAACCAACAGAAATTTATTTTTCTGCAGCGCTGGAGGCTAGAAGTCCAAGATGAAGGTGTTGGTAGGTTTGGTTTCTTTTGAGGTCTCTCTCCCTGGCTTGCAGATAGGCTATGCTGTCAGTGTCCTCACGTGGTTTTCCCTCAGTCTGTGTGGTCTGTGTCTGAATCTCCTTTTCTGATAAGGGCGGCAGTCATATGGATGGGGGTCCACCTACGTGACCTCATTTTACCTTAATTATCTTTGAAAAAGCCTATCTCCAAATACAGCCACATTCTGAGCTAATAGGGGCTAGGGCTTCAACAGATTTTGGGGAAACGCAGTTCAGCCCATAACATTGTGAAGTATGGCACATGTATAAGAAATTTAAAACGATGTAGATTTTAATCTTTTTAAAGTTGATACCTACGTAACCACCACTAAAGGCAATACAAAGAATAATAGCAGTGCCCAGAGAACTCCATCCCAGTCACAACGTGCTCCTGCTCCAAAACCGAGAGGAATTCTAGAACCTGATTGAAAGCCGTATGACCTGACTTGTTGGATAGTTTTCCTATTGTGTCTGAATCCCAAAAATAGAGTGTGGTTGTGGCTGTTACTGAATTTTATAGGAATGGAATCCTAAATTAGGGGCTCCATTTGGTCTTGTTATTGTCTTCAAAATAAACATATAAGATTCACCCATGTCATCCTGTGTATCTGCATATTATCCATTTTCATTGCTGTTGAGCTAATAATGGATCTATCCATTCTGCTGCTGATGCACCTTTGTATTGTTTTCGGCTACTGGTAACATAAGCATGCTGCGGTGAGTTTTTGTCCAAGTATTCTGATACACATAAAATCGACCTTTTTATAGCAGTGGTTTACACACTTAAAAAAACATTCATTGGGAAGACATAAATATGTTTATGTACTTAACTGCAGAACTTTGAAATATATAAGGCAAAAAGCGACCAAACTAAAGGATAATATACAAATTACAATCATACTTGAGGATGTTAACACTTCTTTCTCACTAATTGTTAGAATAAGTAAACAAGAAGCAAATCGGAGTGCAAAAGATTTATCTTGACCTAATGGTATTTGTAAAACACTATATCCAACATTAGCTGAACACACTTCTTTTTCTTTTCTTTCTTTTTAAAGGACATGGATGAAACATTTATTCTGTCTTGCTTGAATGAACTGTATTTCAGGGTAAGAGGCTGATGTCAGACAGTACTTTTTTTTTTATTTAAATTTATTTAATTAACATACTGTATTATTAGCTTCAGGGGTAGAATTTAGTGATTCATCAGTTGCGTACAACACCCATTCCTCATTATTTCAGGTGCCCTCCTTAATGCCCGTCACCCACATACCCCATCCTCCCAACCACCTCCCCATCCAGCAACCCAGATTGTTTTTATTTATTTTTTATTTTTTTAATTTTTTTTTAAAGATTTTATTTATTTATTGGAGAGAGAGAGAGTGAGAGAGAGCATGAGAGGGGAAAGGGTCCGAAGGAGAAGCAGACTCCCCACCGAGCGGGGAGCCTGACACGGGGTTCGATCCAGGGACTCCAGGATCATGACCTGAGCTGAAGGCAGTCGCTTAACCAACTGAGCCACCCAGGCACCCCCCCCGCCAGATTGTTTTTTATAGCTAAGAGTCTATTATTGTTTGCCTCCCTCTTTCTTTTTATCTTCTTTTATTTTTCCTTCCCTTCCCTTATGTTCATGTGTTTTGTTTCTTAAATTCCACATAGCAGTGGAATCATATGGTATTTGTCTTTCTCTGACTTATTTTGCTTAGCATAATACCCTCTAGTTTCATCCACGTCATTGCAAATGGCAAGACTTCATTCTTTTTGAAAGCTGAGTATATTCCAACATAAATATATATATATATATATATATATATATATATATATATATATATATATATCACCTCTTCTTTATCCATTCATCTGTCAAGGGACATCTGGGCTCTTTCCATATTTTGGCAATTGTGGACATTGCTGCTTTAAACACTGGGGCACATGTGCTCCTTCAAATCACTATGTTTATATCCTTGGGATAAATACCTAGTAGTGCAATTGCTGGGTAGAACATACTTCTTTTTCAAGTGAACCTGGAAGGTTCATGAGGTAGGCATATATTGGGTCAAAAACTATGTCTTGACAAATTTCCAAAGTGGAACATATATACAGGGTTTTTTCTCTGAACACAGTGGAATTAAAGCAGAAACCAATAACTAAGATATCTAGAAAATCTGCAAATATTTAGAAAGAAATGAAAACATACTTTCACATAACCAGTGGGTCAAAGAGGGAACAATATAAAATTAGAAATAATTTGAACTGAATGATAACTAAAACAGAGCAAATAAAAATTTTTTTAAAAGATCTTATTTATTTATTTGAGAGAGAGAGAACACAAGCAGGGGGAGTGGCACGCAGAGGAGAAGCAGGCTCCCCGCTGAGCAGGGAGTCCAACTCTGGGACTCCATCCCAAGACCCCAGGATCATGACCTGAGTTGAAAGCTTAACAGACTAAGCCACCCAGGCACCCTAGAGCAAATCTAAATTTACAGTATGTGGTTAAAGCAGTGCATAAGGGAATGTTGCATCTTTAAGTGTTTATATTAAAAAATAAGAAAGATCTAAAAACAGTGACTTAAGTTTCCATCCTAAAAACAGAGAAATGAAAGCAAGTTAAATCCAAAATAGAAATAGATAACAAATATCGGAATGGAAATAGAAAATATACAGCACAGAAAATTACCAAAGCTAAAGTGGGATTTGTAGAAGACTAATACAACTGATAAATGTCTACTAAGATTAATCATGAAATAAAAAGTGACATTTCAAACTATCAGTATCAGGGGAAAGGGGGTATTGCTACAGATTGGAAGACATTCAAAGGATAAGGTGATTATAAACACCTTTTGAGCAAGAAAATTGCAGGTTCAAAGAGTTCTCCTGGTGAATTTCATCCTATATAGAAGATATTTTACCAGCATTGTACAAACTCTCAGAAAATAGAGGAGGCAGATTCTCTGAATCCATTCTGTGAGGTTAACACTACCTTCATACCAAAATATAAAAATAAATGTACAGGGCGCCTGGGTGGCTCAGTTGGTTAAGCGACTGCCTTCAGCTCAGGTCATGATCCCAGGGTCCTGGGATCGAGTCCCGCATCGGGCTCCCTGCTCTGCGAGGAGCCTGCTTCTCCCTCTCCCACTCCCCCTGCTTGTGTTCCCTCTCTCGCTGTCTCTCTCTCTCTGTCAAATAAATAAATAAATAAAATCTTTAAAAAAAATAAAAAATAAAAACAAATAAATAAAAACAAATGTACAGATTAATGTACTCATAAACACAGATATGACAATCTTTAACATATTAGGAAATCCCTCCTAACCAAATTTAAAAGTGTACTCTAGAATGACCAAGTGGAAATTGCAGCAGGTAGCCAAGGCTGGTTTCCTATGGAAAATCAATCAATGCAATTTACCATCTTAAGAGACTAAAGGAGAAAAGCCACCTGCATATCTCAAAGCTGTGGGGGAAGTAATTGATGAAGTTTAACATAGCTTTCAAAAAGCTCTCTCGGTAAAGTAGGAATTGGAGGGAATTTCCTCTTTCCTAAGGCAAAGCAGGGTTAAGTGACCACAAGTGATTCTGCCTTGGGACAGAAGACTTTGAAAGCGGAGCGCATTCTGCACCCATTGGCAGTGCCTCTCGAGGCCTTGATCTGGAGAAGAGCTCTCACCCGCAGCTGTATGGTTTGCCATACAGCTACAAAAGATACGTCATGGGCTCATGCTGGCAACTAGTGACCTGTGTCCTACACCTTCTGAGGGGACTGGAGCCCAGTGCGGCCTGTGGGGGCCTTAGGAGTGCCACCAATTCAGACCTGGTAGGCAGCGTGGGATCCTTACAGGGGTGCCATGGTGCTGAGCATCCGGACTAGAAAAATGGTCATCCGTGATCCCTGCATGATGAGGGGGCACCACAGTCAGGTGGTGAGTGCATGAGCTCTGGAATCAGACAGACCAGCTTCAAACCCTGGCTTCACCACCATGTGGGGCCCTCTGGAAGATGCTGAGGGTTCATGCATTTTGTAATCTGTAAAACTGTAAGAAGAAGTGAAGAGCACCTGCCTGCCTGGAAGGGATGTGGTGGGGCACAGCACCTGGCAGGCTAGGCCATTCCATCGGCCCCTACCTCAGAAAACTCGGCAGCCCAGCTGCTGATGCTTGGGACTCACACTTCTCCAGGGCTGCGACAAGGCTGGTCTTGTCTTGCTCCAGGACTAGAACAGACCACAGACGGGTCCCTTGTAAGCAGATTTTCCAGAAACCCAACCTACCAATATGGAGGAAAGGGAGGATGTGAGGGTAAACAGGTGTTGTCCGTGGCGGCTGCCTGGGTGAATCACACCCTGTGTGGCTGGGTCACTCCATGCCCCGCCCCCGTCACCTGCCAGCTGAAGCCATCTGCAGACTCTGGGTGCACCAGTACCCGCAGGAAACAGAGCCCAACCTCATCCTCTCCGTCAGGGTCTCTCTTACACTGACCTAGAGTGAGCCAGGCCCCCAGTCCATCAAGACTTAGGTTGCTCCAGGGCTCGGCTCTGAGCAGGCTCTGCTTCCTCTGCCCCGGGAGAAATGGCGAGCGGACCCAGAGGCACAGGTTGCCTCAGCGACAGCCCTGGGCCAGGTGCCGAGGAGGCTGCAGACCCCGAGCCCCGGTGGTCCCACTTCTGCGGGCAGCCAGCATCAGCAGTCCTGAGCAGTGCCCACATAGTGCGGGGGCACTGCTGGTCCCCAACACCTGCAACCAGGTGCGGAAATCCCAAAGGGACTGGAGAAGGGCCGCTGGCCCCACCCTTTGCCCTCTGGCGCCCTTGCTTCCACCCTTTACTGGCCAGTACTTTTCTGTCGCACATCCAGTGATGAGTCCCCAGCATCAGGCTGAACAGTGCATGGTCTGCCTTGGAAGAGTAGGTAGCTAGAGGCACCTCCAAATTATGTACTATGTTCCCAGGATCACACAGTGAACACACAGCTCTACATGGGCAATTTAAAGCAACCTTCTCCCCTTTCCTGACCCAGCTCCTGTTCCCCAAGCAGTGGTCACCCACCCGTTCATCTGGCCCCGTGTCCCTCCTTCACTTCCACCAGTGCCTCGGTTCTCACTGGCCAGCCCATCACTGCCTCCCCGTCCCTTCGCCCGGGGCAGTCAGCACATCTATAGAGGTGACCTCCCAGGGCATTTTGGAATTGGGTGTAACCCACATGGGCTCTGCTCCCCATTCCCAGGCTTTCACTTTCCGGTATCCCTAAGGATCCACTGTGTGTTACCTCCTCATTAACCAGCGATGAGGGAACAGAAGGCAAGCTGAGAACAAAGCAGAAACTGGCACCCTACACCCACCCCCTTCGGGATATATGTGACATTCCTCAGGCACCGCTGGCCGCCTAAAGGAAACAATGGTTGACTGATAGAGATCACAGTCCTGCAGGACAGGAGTCTCCCTCAGTTTCCAAATGTCCTAGTGATTTACAAGGAAGCAGCTTTCTTATCAATGGCCTAACTTCCAAGAGACCCGTAACTCAGTTTCCTGAAGCCCTAACATCACCCTCCCCTCCATAAAATTAAGGGAGGCTGAGGCAGAAGGAAATGTAAATAAAATTGGATTTCTTCTGAACCTGAAGCCCATTGACAAGGACGTGTGATAGGAGGAATGTAACATTCCTCCCGGAAACTCCCAACTGTCTTCATGTTAGTGTCTCATTAGAGGGAAAAAAACAACCTTGGTTTGACAATAACCAGGCCCCCAGGATCCTGAGACTCTAGGATATGACAGTCCTTCTGGACACCCCCTTTGTCCTTTGTCCTCACCTCCCCAACTCTGAGTATAATAATCAGCCACTCCTCAAGACCACAGGGCAGCAGCTTTCTGCCCATAGGTCCTGTCCCCGTGCTTTAATAAACCACCATTTTGCACCAAAGACGCCTCAAGAATTCTTTCTTGGTCGTCGTCAGCTCCAGACTCCACCCCACTGAGGCTCACCTATATTCCAAAACTGCATCACCAGGACTGCTCGGTGTGGAACAGCTCCAGTCTCTACCAGCCCACTTCCAGTATAATCAGGAGACCTACCCCAACTCTGAACCTTTGCTTGAGTCCGGGAGCCGTACTTCAGTCACATGTGGAGTCCCTGATGGGCTGGAGCAGAGTCACTGTCCCTAGTGCCCCTGTCTTTACTAGCCAATCCATCCCTGGTTTTGCAGTTACCTGCTTTCCATCCGCCAGGATGTCAGCCAACTGGGCATCCAAGCCTGCCTTTGACTCTGATGAAATTGATATGGCTCCCAGGCCCCCCTCCCAGGCTCCTCCTGACAGCCCCCCGCTCCCAGCAGCTTTGCTAGCTCTCACCCTGTGGGAGATCTGGCAGTCTCAGGACATGGTCCAGTCTTAACCTCTGCGGAAGCCCAGGCACCCAGTGCGAGCACGAGTCGGTCAGCTTCTGCATACGTGACACTCCCGTGTTCCACCTTTGGCATCTTGGTCAGCCAGCCATCATCCACGGAACTGGAGCCCTCATCAGGAGGATGCCCAGCACTAGGCGCAGCTCCCCTTTTGCTAACATGACTCCAGACCCATTTCCTTTCAAGGCATCTGCAGCTCCTTTGGGTCATGACCGTTCCGGCGTCAGCATGTCCGCCCCAGGCCCCAGCTCCATGTCTGAAGGACTCAGCTTTAGCACAGGGCCAAGGGGGACACCCAGTACCTCGGCTCGTGTTGGGGGAGGCTGAGACCTGAACTCCAGGGTCCTGCCAGCCGTAGCACCTCTGTTACAATTGGAGACAGCGAGCCTCCCCTGGAGGACACATTCCTTCTTGCCCAAAGTCAGACCGCCCGGAATCCCCAGGCCGAGCACTCTTGTCCCTGTCGGCAGAGAAACCTTCGTTGACAACAGATGTGCCAGAAGACACTTCTGTTCCTCCTTGTGCTCACATCACCTGGAAACCATCCGGCCAAAGCACCCCAGCTGCAGTAAGAGGGGCAACACCCACCTGTGCTTGGAGGTCTGTCTGTTCCCAGCTGCAGTCCGAGCACTCAGGGTCCACTCGTCCAGGGCCCAGTGAGAGTCCCAGTGAGAGTCCCAGTGAGAGGGGCCAGGATGAGAACTATGGTGGAGAATCAGTGTTCTCTTCCCGCGTCTGATCGGTGCCCTCGGGGCCCGTCTGGCCAGAGCCAAGCTCTTCCTATTGGAGAAGCCTGCACCACTGAGAAGAAACACAGGCCTGAAGATGCTGCTCTTCGTGCCTTCGGTCGGATGCCTCAGGGCTACCGGGCCAGGGCACCTCTGTTGCTGTCACAGGGGCTGGCACCACAGTGTGGCTGGAGAAACGCCCGTCCGCGAATCCAGGCAGGGCACGTGGGGTCCGTGAGGGCAGGGCACAGGGAGTGCCGTGGGGGCACACTCGCTGTGTTTGGGCACACTTGTAGTTCCACCGTCATTCAGAGCAGCTGGGGATGCTCGTGGCCAGAGCACATGAGTTGCAGTCAGATGGGACAACGTCACTCTTAGGAAGACACTGGGGGCCTGGCCTTCAGTCGGTCCAATGGGGCCTTCCCGGCCAGGATGCCCCCTTTGCCTTTGTAGGAGCCGACACCACTGAGAAAATACCTGTGCTTCCCGCACTTCTTCACCCCCTCTGACCAGATCACAGGGGCCTCTTCAGCGGGTCCAGCGAGGAGCAGCCTTGCCTTCGGGGCGGCCTTGTCACCTGTCCAGGGATTCCCTGTGGCCACGAGGGTGGGGGCACCCACCCACTGGTTGTCTTCTCCTGCAAGAACTAGGATCTCAGCAACTAGGAAGCAAAAGCCTCCTCTACACATGGCGGCGACCACTGTCCCTCACTCGTGGGTGTGCTTTGCTGGGGAGGGACCGTCTCAGGCGCGTCTAGTTCTGTCCATCAAACTTCACCTGTTGTTGGTTTCCCTAGAGCAAGCCGGAGGCCCAACAGCTCAGGGTGTTTGTGTATGTACCCAGATTGTCGGTTCCGATGAGGCTGCTCAGGGGTCAACACACTGGCTCGAAAAGGTCCACTGTGGAGAGAAGGGAGAGGTCTGTAAGTATCACCCGGGCCACACTCTGCTTTCCACTGTCGCCTGCAAGACTCAAGCTCCAGGCCCAGTTCCCTCTAGTCTTAAGCCGGCAGGACACCCACTGCTACCGACAGTGCCCCTTCCCTCTTGCCCATTGGCTTCAGTGGGTCCTTCTCTTTCTTTCCCAGATAGAATAGACGTATACGTGTGTTGTTCTTGTTAATTGGGCCTCCGCTGATGTGTTTTGCTTCTTCAACTCGATGAGGGGGGTGGAAGTGACCTGTATAAGTGGTCGTGGGTTGAGCCAAACTTAACTGTGCAAAGCTTCTGTGGCCGGGGAGATAGGACGCAGAGGCAGTCCCACTGGGGGCAGCAGGAGCTGACTTCCGAAGCCTGTGCTGTGTCAGGGACAGCAGCCCGGGAGGCAGCGAGGTGCAGACGGGGGACACGGGCCATGACTCTCCCTTGCCTCTTCCTTCTGGGCTTCTCCCCGGCCGCCTGGCCTCCATGGAGGCCACGTCAGCCTCGCTGCGTAAGCAAACCACACTGTACAACTGCAGTCTATGGGAAGTATTTCGATGTCCCCGTTTAATTCAGACTAGGCCAATAGTCCACACACATTCACACTTCACCCAGTGAGGACTGGCTTGGGGGAAAAAAGGAGAAAAACTCATGTCTGTTTTCTAATTTTTGGGAAAAAATTTTTTTTAAAGATTCTTTATTTGATAGAGAGAAACACAGCGAGAGAGGGAACACAAGCAGGGGAAGTGGGAGAGGGAGAAGCAGGCTTCCCGCTGAGCGGGGAGCCCGATGCGGGGCTCGATCCCAGGACCCTGGGATCATGAACTGAGCCGAAGGCAGACGCTTAACGACTGAGCCACCCAGGCACCCCTAGTTTTTGAAAAATTTAAGTCAAGGATCACTATATAGATATTGTTCTCATGCTGCTTTAAAGGATCTGAAATGATTCTCTTTTCTAGTCAACAACTGGGTAGGTTCTATTTGGAAAAAGAAGTCTTCCCCTCGTCTAACCCACTGAAATATCAAATTGCAAGAATGACAGTGTCACTCAAGCTTGGCTGGCCTTAAAGTCATGCTGTGTCTCCACGAGACTTTATTGCTGAAAACAGAATCTTTTCTAACACATATTACAGCCCAAAAAGACAGGGCTGTAAGCAAAAAGGCAGGCATTTCCCTCAGCTTCTTACCTGTTATTTTCTTAAACATTTACTTGGTGGTGAGCCTACACTAGACACTATGGCAGACCCTAGTGATGCCGAGTTTAAAGGCATCTCTTGCCGCGCAGGAATTTACAATATAGTGAGAGTCCGACGAATAAACCAAATATTACACAGGACGGGGTAGTGGTGGGGATTTCAAAGCAGGTAGGAAGGACATAAAACGAAGTCTGGGAGGGATGGAACTTTAATTACTCCTCAAGAAGAAGAATAAAGTGGCCAGGTAGAGATGGACTATTTTCAGGTCAGGGAAATAACACATGAAGAGTCAGGGAAGGAAGAGCACTCATGACCCAGTGTGCACCAGGCAGAATCTTCTCTCTGACCATGAGAGATTTAAAGTAGAACCAATGATGAGTAGAGCATCCTCAAATATCCAGATATAAAGCAAAACATACTCTTTCAGAACCAATGAGTCAAAGAAGAAATAAGGACAAAAATGGGAAAGTAGTTTAAACCAAATGATAATTAAAACACGGCAAATAAAAATTTGTGAGATACAGCTAAAGCAGGGTGCTTCAGGAAACTTTGTAGTTTTAAGTGTTTATATGAAAAAATAAGAAACAGTTAAAAATAATGGTTCAAGTTTGCATCCAAAGAAAATAACAATTGGTTTAAATAAGATCCAAATAAGAAACTGAAATTACACAGCACTGAAGACTAAGCTGAACAAGGAATTTTTAAAAGATGGGTAAAATTCATAAACCCCTCCTGAGACTGGATGAGAAATAAAAAGAAAATTCAAATGACAAATATTATGAGTGTAAAAGGGGGTATGACTGCCCATCTGAAAGACAGGAAAATGGTAACAAGGGACCACAAGCCCCTTTCAAGTTAGAAATTTCCACCTCCAAATGTTTTGTTGTTTCCCCTGATGAACCCTATCATACCTATACTGACATTATTTTCCCATTGTTACACAAATTCTTTTAGAAAATAGACAAGGAGGCAAGTTTTGCTAACTCACTCTAGGTAGCCAGCGTTAGTTACCCTCATCCCAAAAGTCACAAGGGAAAAAAAAGCACAGGTGAGTATCTCTTATAGCCCTAGAAACCCTTTTCTTTTTTTTTTTTTTTTAAGATTTTATATATTTATTTGACAGAGAGAGACACAGTGAGAGAGAGAACACAAGCAGGGGGAGTAGGAGAGGGAGAAGCAGGCTTCCCGCTGAGCAGGGAGCCCGATGTGGGGCTGGATCCCAGCACCTGAGCCAAAAGCAGATGCTTAATGACTGAGCCACCCAGGCGCCCCATAGCCCTAGAAATCTTTAATTTCATTCTAGGAAGTCAAATCCTACCAAATATAAAACGATGATCTAGTATGATTAAGTGGGTTTCTTTTTTTCAAGAATGTAATGTTGTTTTGAGTGACTAATAATGCATTAATGTATAATCACCCTATGAAGAGACTAAAGGAGAAAAGTCATAGGATCCTCTCAATGGTTGTGGGAAAAGTAATTGACAAAATTGACTCCCCTTTCGAAGGAAAATGCTCAGCAAGGTAGGAATGGGACAGTTTCACTTAGCTGATAAAGCACATCTACAAAAAAACTCCCATTGACAGTACACTGAATGCTTTTACCCTATCATCAGAAGCTAGGAAAGGCTGCCCTTTGTCTCCACTTGTCTCCACTCAACATCTTCCTGGATCTTGTAGCTAATGTCAAAGGTAAAGAGAACTAATAAAAGACATACAGGTTTAAAAAGAAGGAAGAGTGCCTTTCTTGCGTAGAAAACACGATCGTGCTTGTAGAAAATCCAATGGAATCTACAAAGAAACCGGAAGAAGGAAGAAATGAATTGAGCGAGTTTCCCGTGTAAAGGTCAATATACAAAAGGCAATGGCTTTGTCTGTGTCCTACCAAATAGCAACACGTGTATAATGCGTACGTGCAATACATGTACCCGTACAAGGCCTTTAAGCCAGGCTAGATCCTGCACCCACCTGGTGTGCGTCTCCTGTCCCTGGACCTGCGAGATCATTCACAGACTGCTGGGTAGTCAGCTGCAAGTCTTCCTTAGACAAGAAAGGCCTGAGGTGCTATGCGGACCATTGTTACTCTCTGCAAAGGGAGAAGAATGAGAAATACAAGGCATGCAGATGAAAAGGGAAGTAAATTAGCTTTATTCATAGAATCCTGATTCAGAGAAAACATTATTGCGTATGTAGAAAATCTTAAGGAACCTACACAGGAACTTCCAGAAGGGAGGTGATAGAATGCTGTATCTGTGTGCTCATAGCATGTTCTGTAAACTACCAATGTACTATGGAAAAATAAACTTCACAAACCCCATACAGTCCTTATGAATAAATTAGCAAAAGCTGTGGAAGACCTATAGCCACAAAACTGTATAAGGGTGGTTGTGAACTTTCTCTTCAAAGTCCAGAAAAGAGATATTATAGGCTTTGTGGCTCACAGATCTCGGTCACATATTTCTCTGTGTGTGTGTGTGTGTGTGCACGCACGGGCATGCGTGCGTGTATATGATACAAGTATTTTCAATTGTTAGCACGGTTCTTAGCTCTCTGGTCTTACAAAAACTGGCTATGGGTTGAATCTGACCCAGAGGCCTCGGGGTTGGCTGCTAGTACAGAATATTGCTGAGAGAAAATTAAAAAGGCCTAAATATATGGAGATATATACCATGTTTGTGGCCTGCAGAAGTTAATATTGGTAAATTGTCCATTTTGACTAGGACTCTGAAACCTGACCTATGGAGTTATCCCAAGCAATGCTGGTGCCCTCAGGGCATAAGGGTTTTCAGGGCAGGGAATCCTGTGCCCACCTGATGGGCGTCCCCTATGCCCGCACTGGAGAAGACAGATCCCAGCCAGCTGTGTGGCTTGCTGCAAGATGCAATTACAAGAGAAATCTGCCGTGGAGATGGAGTGACAACTGGTGGTCCCTGCCTACGTCTCTGAGACTGAGGCCCAGTGTGGTCAAGGCCCACTTAGAAGTTGAACCGAATTATGGGGCGCCTGGGTGGCTCAGTTTGTTAAGCGACTGCCTTCGGCTCAGGTCATGATCCTGGAGTCCCGGGATGGAGTCCCGCATCGGGCTCCCTGTTCAGCAGGGAGTCTGCTTCTCCCTCTCACCCTCCCCCCTCTCATGCTCTCTCTATCTCATTTTCTCTCTCAAATAAATAAATAAAAAACCCTAAAAAAAAAAAAAAAAGAAGTTGAACCGAATTAGTCCTCCCAGAGGCCAGTGCATGTGCTCATCACCGGTGTGCCCCCAGCTAAGGACCTTAAGGACTATTTAAAAAAAGGACCGGGTGATGTGCACGTGAGGAGGAGTCACCAGCGTCTGATGGTTCAAGGCTGGATCTGTAGAATCAGACAGCTTGGGTCAAGCCCTGGCAGGGCCACTACCACCTGTGTGGGCTGAGCAGAGTTCTAGGCCTTCCATGTGGTTTTGCCAAACTTGCAAAGCTAAGAGAAGAGGCTCTGCCTGCCAGCAAAGGGTGATGCGGGGGGCGGCACCCGGGCAGGTCAGAGCCCCGGGGAGCTGCCTCAGAAACCAGCCCAGCCTGCGGGCTCAGGCCTTCCCAGGGCGTCGCCGAGGTGCCGGCCTCCAGGATGTGGGGCGGCCCCACAGAAGATCCCAGAGGTCGGGGCCCTGGGCCCTGAGCTCCCCGCGGGCGGCGGCGGGGGGACGGGGGGCTGGCATAACCGCTGTCCTCCGCGGCGGTTGGAAGGACGCGGCGGGCGACTCTCGCGCCCGCCGCTGCCGTGGCCCGGGTCCCTCGGCCCCCCGGGGCACTGGCCCTGCTGCCGCCTCCCTGGAGCCCGGGGTCCCTCAGTTCCCGGGGCCGGCGCCCCCGCTTCGCCCGCATCCGGCCCTACCTGGCCCTGCCGCCGAGCCCGCTCCCCGCTCGGAGGCTCGGGGCCCCGGTACTCGGGGGCGACGCGCGCTGCCCTCGGGGCCCGGAGAGAGAGCGCGCGGAGGTCCCAGGGCACCGAGGCCGCGGCGGCGCCCGGACGCAGACGCCCAGGAGGCCGGTCCCGGTTCCGGGGAGGCCAGCCCCGCCGTCCTGGACGGTCCCCACGAAGCGCGGGCGACACCCGGTGCCACCGGCTGCAGCCCCGTGCGCGCAGCCCGAGGCGACCGAGTCCCGCGGACTCGGACCGTTGCCCTCGCCCTTTGCCCTCACTGCCTTTCTCTCCAGCCTTCCGTCCTCTGCGCCCCCGTTCTCTGTTCCACCCCACCCCCCCGCCCCGTCCCCGCCCGTGGCCCTCCTGAGCCAGGGGGCAGGGCGCGGGGCTCGGATGCTAGGACACCTCGCTGACTTTTCTACCGAGTCCAGGGATTCTCCTGCACACAGAGGGCTCTTTCCAGAAGCTTCTGCAGGCAGCTTCGCCCGCCCGCCAGTGTCCCCCAGTGTCCCCCATGGGGCCTGGGTCACCCCTGTCCTGCCCCTCACTTTGGATGCTTGCAGGCTCCTGGGTCTGCACCCCTCGCTCCTCTGTCACCTCTATGACCTGTCAGCTGGAATCTGAGCCCGCAGTCCTGGTGGGCCTCTGTGCAGGGGGTACCCCCAGAAGAAGGTGCTGTTGCTGGCCCCCCAATATGTTCTACTAAAGCCAGAGCCAGAGACAGCCTGCCTGTGGCTACTGACACTCATTTAACCTCCCGGACTGCTGATGGCTGGGGTGAATATATGTTGTTTAATCTGCAAACAACCTATGCACCTGAGACAACCACCTCAGAAAGACGAAACAGCTGGTCTATGTCCATACAGAGGTCTGTGACGGGCCCTCGATTTATCCTGGTTCTGTCTGGCTTCAGTGCCTCAGTGACCACACACGTCACGACCCCTCACCACCCAACAGCTCCCGACCGGCCGCCTGCCGCAGTCAGCTCACAGCGCAGGGACCCCTGGCACTCCGAGCTGAGTCACGGCTGGCTGACCAGAACCAGTCCAGGACTGACGCAGGTGCAGTCAGGTGTCTGGATTCTAGCGTTAGGTACGGAAACGAAGGAAGACCCGTCAGAAGCAAGGACACTGAGGCAAAGATTCATCACCACAACGGGTTTAGGTTCAAAAGGACTCCCCCCCCCCCCCCCCAATACAGCTTCAACATGCTCACTGCTGGGCAGATGCTTTCCCAGCTGACGGTGCTGGTGTCCCGGGAGACAGAACCCTGAGGAAGCCGGAGGTGCCTCCTGGCTAGGTCCTGGGCCCACGGCAGGGCTTCCCAATCCCCTCACAGGAGCCACCACAGCCCCTTGGCTGACCCCCCGCTCGCCTGTTCCTGAGAGGTAAGACACCTTTGGCACAACAGAGCAACAGCCAATGGACACAGAACATTAGACCCGCTTTCTTCAAAACTTAAAACATAGAGAAGGCAGATCATTGCAAGTAGAGTCCACATTTTAAACACCAGATGGGTTTCAAGGGGAGATGGCCACACTTTACAAAAACCACCAGAGAAGTATCATGTTTAAAACCCAACACGAGGGGCGCCTGGGTGGCTCAGTCCGTTGAGCGGCTGCTTTCGGCTTGGGTCGTGATCCTAGGGTCTTGGGATCGAGCCCCGCATCCGGCTCCCTGCTCAGCGGAGAGCCTGTTTCTCCCTCTCCATCTGCCTGTCACTCTGCCTACTTGTGCTCTCTCTCTGTCAAATAAATAAATAAAATCTTAAAAAAAAAAAAAAACAACATGAGAAAGGAGATGTGACAGAGGCAGCAGGTGTGTTCCTTTGCAGCTCTTTTGAGGGGTCAGAGGCGGGTGTGAGGACTCTGGCGGGAGAGAGGGCTGAAAGGTCTGCGAGCGAGCCCTGGGACACCTCTCAACCCTGAAGAGGCCTGAGGGCAGGATCTGTTCTGCTGCCACAGGGGCAGAGAGGCTCCCCTAGCCCCACAAGGACACTGTAATTTTACATCAGGGAGAAAATACCTTCCCGAATTGTTCTTATGGAAAATTGGTTACTCGGCAGTGACCCAGAAAAACATACAACTTAGAATTGAAGCCTAAAAGCTAGAAGGGCCCCTTTTAAAATTGGGAAAATTGACCAACCACAGAAGAGAAATAAAGATCTCTACTGCGTGACTTCCCTTTGTATTTTGCATATGAGAGGAGAAAAAAGCAGGGCAAGGAAATGCAGGATATGAGGCTCTTGCTGAAAAGCTGTGAAGTCTCTTCTAAGTCAAAGAGACAGGTTTTCATGACAATTACCATCTAGAAATAACATATGTTTTCAGATAATAGGGAACTGGCAGGCCCATATAAGTTACTAAATTGCTAACTGAGTGTGGGACCAAGGCGGGCAGCGAGGAGGTGGGGGAAGCGCAGAGAGACCTGCTTTGCTCCAGAGGACAGATGGCAAAACTCTGGGATAAAGAAGCCAAAGGCCAGGAAATAGGGGTGGCTTCATGTTCTCCTCCACCTTGGGGTGGTTTCATGTTCTCCTCCTGCCTGCACCCTAAAGGGGTTCTTCAACTTTACAGGTTGTTTTCATCTTCTGAAATGAGGAGATAATTAGGCTTTAAAGCTGAAGACTTTTGCCTACTGGTTGGAAGAAATATGTGCAAGTCATATATTTGAAAAGGGTTAATATCCAAAATATATAGAGAACTCATACAACTCAACAGCAAACCAAACAATCTGAATAAAAAATAGAGGATCTCCACAGACATTTTTCCCAAGAAGACATACAGATGACCAACAGATGCATAAAAAGATGCTCAACATCACTCATCATCAGGGAGATGCAAATCAAAACCACAATGAGATATCACCTCACACCTGTCAAAACAGCTGTTATCAAAAGGACAAGAAATAACAAATGTTGGCAAATATGTGGAGAAAAGGGGACCCTTGGGGGGCACCTGGGTGGCTCAGTCGTTAAGCGTCTGCCTTCGGCTCAGGTCATGATCCCAGGGTCCTGGGATCGAGTCCCACATCGGGCTCCCTGCTCAGCGGGAAGCCTGCTTCTCCCTCTCCCACTCCCCCTGCTTGTGTTCCCTCTCTCACTGTGTCTCTCTCTGTCAAATAAATAAATAAAATATTTAAAAAAATTTAAAAAAAAAAAAGAAAAGAAAAGGGGACCCTTGGGCAC